TTATTTCCCCATCCATTTTGAAAGAGAGTTTTGCAGGATACAGCAATCTAGGATGGAGGTTATTTTCTTTTCAAACTTGGAATACCTCACTCCAGGCTCTCCTTGACCTAAAGTTTTGTGTTGAAAAGTCTGCTGTGATTCTAATGGGCTTTCGTTTGCATGTGAGTTGTTCCTTTTCTCTCACTGCTTGTAGTATTTTGTTCTTCTGTTGGATTTGTGGGATTTTGATTATTATATGTCTAGGTGTAGATTTTTTTTGATCATGGTTAGTTGGAGTTCTATATGCCTCACTTATCTGTATGTGTAATTCTTCCCTTCTGTTTGGGAAGTTTTCTGTCATTAATTTTGTAATGATCTTTTTTAAGTCATTTGTATTTTCTCCTGCTATTTCATGGATTCCTATCAGTCCATGGTTTCTCTCTAGATTGCATAAATCTTTCACCTTTTACTAAAAATTCTCGAAGATATATGATATTGAGTGACTCACAATGGTATTAATGTGTATACTGACCATGGTTAAAATTGTACTTTTGTTGTATGTATTTCATTTCAAAAATGAAATAAGGCAAATCACCATTTTAAAAATAGTATAAATGGCTAAAGTGATTAGTATGAACTAGTTTTCTCTGACTAGATGAAGAACCTCAAATCTTTTCTGAACATTTGTATTTCTTTTGTCTCCTTCTTCCATTAGAGTAGGGAAATCCTTAGAGATTGGGACAGCATGGACCAATTTCGCTAATTATGAGCTCTGTGCATTGAGCCCCTAAGGTCACAAACTAGTCAATAATTAGCCTCGAGCCCTTCAGTAACTCTGGTCCTGTGTCTAGCTCCATACTTGTGTTCCAGGATCTATTGTTGTATATATTATGAAACTTCTATGTGTCTTTGTGTTCATTTCAATCCCCAAAACAGAGATTGAACCTTCACTGGACAGCAGATGTAAGAAGGTTTTGAGTCTTCTCTCATTGGCTATGACCAGCAGAGAAACAGCATTACCCAGTAAGTGAACAGGGATTTCCCTGAAATCAGAATGATACTAAAAATTATTATTTCCTTATTCTGAGGAGAAGCATGACATTTTTGATGGTCAGAAGTGAGGGAATATATATGAAAAATATAAGTTATAAGGAATAGAAATTTTATGATTTTGGTTGTAGTGGAGGGAAAGAAAAAATTATTATTTCAATCTTGCTTTTGTTTTTTCTGTGTCATGGACACATGGACCCTATAATCCACTTAATTGTATCTCCATACATTATTTTAAAAAACACAGAAATATCCACATTTTTTCAAAGCCACAAAGAAAAAGAAGCTGGTGACTATATGCTTCAAGCTTAGATTAAAAAAAAAACCTTCATATCATTTCATGCTCCAGTGCCATTGGAATATGGTTTACTATATGTAATAAACTTCTTACTTGTTTAAAGGTGTATATATTTATTTTAAAAGCAAAATCTCTCTTATGGGAAGCAATGAAAGCAGCCCTATAAGGAAAATTTATAACAGTGAATTCTCACATCAGTAAAAAAGAGCGATCTCAAATAAACAGCCTAATGTTGAAACTCAGTCTTCTAGGAAAAGAACAAATCAAGTCCTAAGGTCCACACAAGGGAGGAAATTGTAAAGGTCACAGCAGAAATTAATGCATTTGAGATGGAGAAATCTCACAATTGCTAAATGATTAAGTTCTAAGTTTCTTTAGTTGCTACAGATATGCATATGTGTTATTATTCTTATTTTCCTCTAATATATGAGCACAGAGAGGAAGAGAGATTTACACACATTCTGCCCTCATTAACAGGTCAGTGACACAGGTCTAACATGTTCATTCCTTCAGTGCTATCCCTTTGCACAGTATCCAAAACTGATGGGAAACAGAAATGTTATTCCTCATGTGATGATGAAATTTCTTTGTGTGGTGTCATACAGAGATCATTACTGGAAAGATGTCAAGAATATCTTTAAGGTGTATCTGAGGAAAAAGAGGATGTAGGTAAAATGAGTCAACTATGTTGCCCAAAAAGTTGAAAATTTCTGTGCATTATTTTTTGGAAATCAGAAAAATATCACAGTAATATATAACAACTTTTTACATGAGTGACAGGGAAAGAAGCACAAGAACTTAGAAAATATTATTATAATAATTTATTTACATGGTAAACAAGGCATCTCTTTCTCTCCCTAAATCTCCATCCTCTCTGATAAGGCCGTGAATTGGTTGAAGACCTAAAACCACTACATGTAGATATAAGCTAGTCTGCTTGGGAGCAGTAGATGTTCTGTAACACACTTTAGGTCCCTTTCAGGTAGTTTGTTTTTTTATCCAAAATGTGTTCCTTGGGTGGCTTCCCAATCATCTTGACACAGGTCACTGTGAGTGCTGCTTCCTTCCTCCTGAAGGAGGATCCTCTGTGAGCCTTGCTTCTCTTTTTGTAGCCTAGAAGAGGACAGTGGAGCAGCCTACATCTGTGCATGACTTTTATGGAATTTTTTGTGGTGTCCTGGGCACTTCATGTCCATTAAGTGGGAATCTGTCTCTGTGCCAGGCGCTTCCTCTTGTGCTTCTCTTCTCTGGAGAGAGATGAAGCAGCTCTTTTTTGAGAAGCGTGTTCTCGTGGGGAGGTCTTCTTTGCATGAAAGGCTCTTTCTTTGGGGGTTCCTGGGGATTGAATTCAGATCTTGCCCTTGTGAGGAAGGCAGAGACACCACTGAGCTAAATCACTGGCCCCTCTTTTAAGTAAATTTTTAAGAAAATTGCTTGTGGATTCATAAATCAGTGTTGACCTGGAAGCATTGACATGGAAATCTACCCATAAAATTCATGACAACAGATTCTTTTGAGGACAGCAGAGAAAGAAATTGTAGGAAGTACTAAAAATTTTAGGTTATTTGTTCAGATATCTAAAGAATATTAATGAGGATGTAAATAGAATTATACATTTATATGCTAATATCTATAAAGATAATATGAATGGGAGATTTTCCAAATGCCAGTGAATATCCTCAAAGAGTGGTTCTCAACTTTCACTTAAGAAAGAGACTCAAAAATTAGAAATGTACATTTTTTTATTAATATATTAGGCTAAGCCTAGAGTATTTGGATATATGACAATGTCTCCAGATAAATATACGCCTAAATTAGAATCAACAGTGATGCAAATTAAATGACTTTCAAAATATTTTCTTACAGTACCTACATAAGGTAGGTAATTCTTATCCCCATTTTATAGAGGATAATTACATTATTTACATGTGTGTTTACAAGATTTCATGTACCTTTTTCTATTGCAGCTGTGTTTTAAGGTGTGCTTACATTATTTCATGTAGCATTTTGAGATTTTTCCCAATTAAGTGACAGAATGGCTACATGAAAATATAGATCTCAGTTTTCATCACATAGCTGTAATAGGAACAATTCCACTCATATACCTGGAAAGGTTGATGTGAAAATCTGTTGGTTAGAATTAGGAAGGCTGGGACTCAACCAGGGCCCTGGAGTTTCTTTGTTTCCAAAGTTATCAACTTGATATAAGAAGTCTTATGTCAGAATAGCAGTTATGCTTATTATCAGGCTATGGTAGACTAGAGTCAGCGAAGAGGTGTCTTAATTTAAAAGGCAAAGTTACTTTTTATCATTTGTCATTTTTATTGACATATACAGTGTACACCAATCTATATTGGTGGTGATTATTTCAAAAGATTATGTGCACATATCAGAATCTGTGATATATAAATTTGAATGCAACAAAGGTAAAGATGAAAGTTTTATATTTAATAATTTATACACAAACAAAATTTATGTACAATTTGTATACAATGGCTGGGTAAGTGCTTACATACTTAAAACACGAAACCAGTAAAAACAAGCAAAATGAAAAATTTGTAATTTTTTACACAGTGGCTCAAAAGAAAATATTCTTTTTTTTTCTTTTTATTGAGTTTATTGGTACATTTTAGGTATACAGTACAGTTACATTTATTTTTGGGATCTTGTACCTTTACATGACCGGTCTTTGTTCTCAGAAGAGAATGAACTTGAATTTAATTTTCAGATAATGTAGTCCTACATTTTATAGTACTTGTAGATGCCCTAGTCAAGGTAATTTGTAGCATTTTATTGTATAAAATGAGGAATATTTCAATACTTATCAGTTTTCTTCCAAAAGAATCATATTTTCTTAAAGGTGGATGGCTTAACTATCCTCTATACTTTTTGGAAAACATTTCCACGGTCTTGGTTCTCAGAAGAGAATTAACTTGAATTTAATTTTCAGATAATGTAGTCCTACATTTTATAGTACTTGTAGATGCCCTACTCAAGGTAATTTTTAGCATTTTATGGTATAAAATGAGGAATATTTCAATACTTATCAGTTTTCTTCCAATAGAATCATATTTTCTTAAAGGTGGATGGCTTAACTATCCTCTATACTTTTTGGAAAACATTTCCTACATTTCACTGCGATAAAGGACTTCAGTAATCTGTGTTCTTGGTCTGATAACACTGTGCAGTAGAGGACAAGTAATGTGAAGGTGGAAAACAAACCACCCAACAGTGAGTCCTCCATGGTGGAGTTTGTCACAATAGAGCAATGCTGCTGAAGGTCTGTGGATCTCTGAGCATTTCACTGTGATAAAGTACTTCAGTAATCTGTGTCCTTGGTCTGATAACACTGTGCAGTAGAGGACAAGTAATGTGAAGGTGGAAAAGAAACCACCCAACAGTGAGTACTCCATGGTGGAGTTTGTCACAATACAGCAATGCTGCTGAAGGTCTGTGGATCTCTGGTGGGAATTCTATGCTTATGGATACTTGCACTCAGAATATATGAAGATTATTGTGTGATATATTTTATTACATTTTTTCAATGGAATTTATTTAAATGTGCTCAAGCAACATGGAAGGACATAATCTCACATGTGTCTCAGAGTTCTACCTCATGCGCTTCTCAGAGGACCCAGACCTGCAGCCCATCCTCTTTGGACTGTTCCTGTCCATGTACCTAGTCACAGTGCTTGGGAACCTGCTCATCATCCTGGTTGTTACATCTGATTTCCATCTCCACATCCCCATGTACTTCTTCCTCTCCAACCTGTCCTTGGCTGACATCTGTTTCACCTCCACCACAGTTCCAAAGTTGATTGTGGACATCTCAACTAACAGCAGGGTCATCTCCTATGAGGGCTGTCTTTCACAGATTTCTATTCTTATCTTTTTTGCATCTGTAGATGACATGCTTTTGACTGTGATGGCCTATGATCGTTTTGTGGCCATTTGCCAACCCCTGCATTATGCAGTCATTATGAACCCTCACCACTGTGTCTTCTTAGTTTTACTCTCAGTCTTTGTTAGCCTTTTGGATTCTCAGGTTCACTATTTAGTTTCCTTACAAATTTCCTGTTTCAAAGATGTGGAAATTGCTAGTTTCTTTTGTAACCCTTCTCAACTCTTTGACCTTTCATGTTCTGATACTGTAATCAAAAACATAGTCACATATATGATTGGTATCCTATTTGGTTGTTTTCCTATGTCAGGGATAATTTTCTCCTATTATAAAATTGTTTCTGCAATTCTGAAATTCCCATCATCTGGGGGGAGGTACAAAGCCTTTTCTACCTGTGGTTCTCATCTGTCAGTTGTTTGCTTATTTTTTTGAACAAGTGTTGGGATGTATCTTGGTTCAAGTGCATCACATACTTCCAAAGAGGGCATGGTGGCCTCACTGATGTACACTCTGGTCACCCCCATGCTGAATCCCTTCATCTACAGCCTGAGGAACAGGGACGTCAGTAGCACCCTGAAGAGGCTCCACCTTTGGAAAATCTAATCTTCTTACTATTTATTTGGAATGTAGTTTAGAAAATGTGGTAAAAAAGAAAATCAAAATCTTATTTTTAAATGTTTTCTTTTTGGTTTCATTGTTTCTGAAATTTAACATTTTTAATTTTATACAATGTTTCATTGCAGAATCAAAGGAGTTCAAGGGGTAATATTATCATTGTTCCTAAAGGTGCAAATTTCAGTTGGGAAAGTGAAAAGTTTTTGGAGATGACTAAGTGTGAGTTTGGCAAAAAGTATTACAATGTATGTAACCAAACTCTGCACTTAAAACCACTTAAAATGGTACCTTAGATAAGTATATCTTTCCACAATGAACAATGTAAATAAAAAGCTGAGGACTTGATTAAAAAAGGAAAAAAATTACCAAAGATAACAATATTCTTAATATGTCGTCTGTGTAAAAAAAGAGCCCCAAATCTTTGTGATGTTCATTTTTAACTTCCATTTAATTTCTGAAATTCAATGAATTAAAATAATTAAATAATAAAACAATATGGCCCTATATGGATAATTATAAGCTGCATGTATGCATCGAGAGTTCAAGATTATGTGATATGACAGAACCTGTCAGTTCTTCCAGTGTCTGTTTGATATCTTGAGATATCTGTATCTCTTTCATGTTCATCTAAATTTGAGGAAGCTCAAACATCATCCATAACAATTCTCTGGGCTGTCCTTGAGATTTTTCTGTTCCTCAGGAGGTGAGGAATGTGGAAACATACAGGTTAACTCAGAAGTGATGGACAGAGGATGGGGCTGTTGGAAACATTACTTCCCATCATGAAGACGTGAAAGTCTGCACAGTGAGATGGGATGATAAGACTGTGCGCAATGTCAGCTAAGAGGACAGTGAAATGCATGTACTTTATTACTATGGAGGACCCAAAATCTCAAAGTTTTCCTTTCCTTGCACACTGTTCCTACTTCTCAGTGACATCTAACATGTGATAACATACTATGGTTGTCAGTAAACTATTTCCTCAGCATCCCCAGAGAATTATGGTAGAGATGAAGAGGACAATGGGGAGGATGAAAACAAACATAAGGTCACAAAACAATAACTGAAGTTCTCCTTAATGGCAGCATCTAAGTCATGTATTATACATACTTTGTTTCATTTTATGTGTACAATATTTCTGAGTAAAAGCCTCTGTATTATTTTAAAAGGAAAGAGGAGCACTGCATTTTTGTATAATTAATCACAAGTTGTTGGGTAGAAAATAGTGAACACATATTTACATGAGGCTATCTGATAACACACACACACAGAACATTTTACCAGGCAAATCATGGCACATATTTCCTTTTACAAACCAACTAGTTTTTTCTCTTCCAGTCCCTCCAGAAAGGACACATTTCTTTTTGTACTCTACACTTAGGAGCCCCAAGTAGATCACCGTGGAGAGAGGAGTGAAAACTACTGCATGCATTTTTGGAAGGAATCTTTAAGAAGTAAAGAGTAAAGGTTGAAAAGATCTACAATGATTAGTTTTTCTTTCATGCCTAACCCACACTCCATTCTTTCCTTGAAGCTGTCCACATCCTTCTCCTCTCTTATAAATCATCCTTCTCAACTTCTATAGGATAAATCAACTCATGTTAGATCTCTCTCCAACTCTAAAACTGAAAAGTGTTTAATTCTCCCATATATAACTGCAGTGTAGACATAAAAATCTCTACTGAAAACTTTATTCTGGTTAAGGAGCAGAATGATTTATGTGTTGGGGACAGGGAAAGAGGACATTAATAGAACCTTTTCAGTAAGTCCTAGTCTCCTGTGAGCCATGACAGCACAAGGTGAATTCATTTATTAGACAGCGAAGATAGAAAAAAATGAGACTTAGAGAAGAAGCTTAGCTTTGGGCCTGATCAGTGCTACTCTGGGCAACACAGATGAAAGCCCTCAAACTTGCCATACCTTTATTCCATATATCAGGAGAAACAAATGTAACAGATTACACATGGCAGTGAGAGGTCATGAAGAGAGTAACAAATGAAATAGGTGATTCAAAGGGCAATGGCAGCAGTGGCAAAAATTCTAGAAAAATGAGGAACTTTGCAGATGAAGATTTGTTCTTCCCAGGATGTCTCCAACTAGAGTAATCTTGTCCTGGAGAAACACAGCATCACCGGACCATTGACGTTTTAGGTGTGACTGGAGGCAAAGGTGGAGTTGTGTCTTAACATGCCATAGCTGGCCTGTAGACAGTAAAACTAGGCTCTCATAATGATGTAATTGTGAAATGATTTTTCCAAAAATCATGTAGAATTGCTTGAGACATTTGTGGATCCCACACAGAGCTTGAGAATTTAATTTGGAATTTTGTCCCCACCACTTACTAGTATGTAAAGTGTGGCAGGTTGTTTTTATTTTTGATATCTGAGTTGATTTCTAGTTTATACTATTGTATGAAGCATGCAATAAACATATGATGTATGCTTCTCCAAATATTAATAGGTAATGAGTATATAAGGCTGAAATGGTCAGTAGTGATGCAAGGATTAGTATTAGACATGACTCAGGAAAATTTTGAATCTATAACTTAAAAGTAATATGATGTATATGATAGGACTGACTTTTTATTGGGAAAAGCACAAGTGATAGTAACATTTAGTATACACCATATGTTGGAGTTAAAACAAACACTCTTGTCTCACATAGTGGCTGGTAATTTTCACTTGTACAAAATGAAGAGAGGCACAAAAATGTTGAAAGAATACCATTGTAATAATAAAGTAACAAATTATAGCATGTCCTGACAAAGCTGAACAACAGTGAAAGAATTTGAAATAGGCAGAAGTACTTCACAGCAAGCCTTGAATCTACATGTGCATATAAATTAGTTCATTTCAGGACAGCAGGTATGTTGTAGAGTGCTTAGAAGAATATTAGTTAATTTCAGTCTATGTTTTTAAGAAAACGTTTCATGGGTACTAAAAATTAAGAATATTTGAAGTAAGATTTTTGAGAATCTGTTTAGGGACCCATAAGTCCACACTGATATGAGGACATCAAGTCAGATCTACTCACCCAGCTATTGACATGCATTGCCTTTAGGGATGTGTGCAAGAGAATGGAATTATGTAGCTTTCAAAAACTAAAATTTAGTAGACAATAATTTAAATTTGTATGAAGTATCAAGCCTGTATAATGTATCAAATATGTAAAAAATTCAAATATTTGTAAAGCATTAGTTCTGAGGCAAACATTAATAAATGTTGATGTTTTAATAAATGTAGTGGGTATTTTTGACAGTAAGCTAGTTCTTTTTTTTTCTTTTTATTGGTACATTCTAGGTATACAGTACAGTTACATTCATTACTGGGATCTTGTACCTTTACATGACAGGTCTTGGTTCTCATTTTTTCCCCTTGTCTGTGCCCTCCATTCATCCCCTTCCCCTCCCCATTTACAAACATTTTATTTCCATTTTTTCATTTTCTCATATTTTTCTCTTATTCCCTTTCCCCTACCTGGAACTTTCCCTACACCTTTACCCCTTTTCTTACTGTTTCACATTGTTCATTATCTTGTTAGGATCTTGTGTACTATTATAGTTTTTCACACCAGAGAAACTATTTGGTATTTACACATGTGTGACATTTATTTCACTTAGGAGTATATCCTCAAAATGTATCCATTTTCCTATAAATGAGTCTAATTTCTCATTCTTTATGGCTGAGTAGCATTCAATTTTATAGAAAATCCACATCTGCCAGGACATTGACTCCACTACAGAAGCAAGTGAAAATACATTCCTTGTATGAGATGAAATTACTTGGTCAATAATCATGAAAAGACTATTAGTTGGTATCCATCCATAACATTTTTGACAGGAAATGTTGAGTAATAAGTTGCATTTGATTAGGATGGACTTTTTGAGACAAGTAAAGGTAGATGATTAATAGGAAATGGAATATGTTGTAATTCATATAGCAGTCACCAATGAATATGCTACTTAGAAATTTTCCTCTGTTTGACACAGAGAAAGGCAGAAGGACTTTGAAAAGTTTGTATAAAAAACTTGCTAAAAGATATCCCTGCCTCAATTAATGCTGTGCACCAGTTTAAGCACTTTAAAATAATGTATGTACTTTACCACATTTTAATGAGTTCAGTATATGCAACTCGAAGTTGTTACAATGTAAACTGTGTACGTGTGCTGTAGGCAGTATGTAGTTTAGTATTATATGAAAGTGCTATGTGTGTACAAATAATTACTGATGCATATATATTAACATTAAAATTACTCCTTGATCTAAAGGCAGTAGTTTCTTTTGAGGAACATGTGTTCAGGAGAACAGAATCATGCAAAGGTATTAAGAACTCAAATATCATAGTTGGTCTCCTAAAACACTCCAAAATATGACTTCTGAGGTGCATATGGTAATGGTAAAGGTTATTTTAAAATTATGTGTATTAGTGGGCATAGGTATATGTAATGCTAAAGTTTTATTTTCTAAAAATGATGAGGTCAGAGATTTAGCTCAGTGGTGCCACACCTGCTTTGGAAATGCAAGGTCCTGAGTTTGATCCCCATTCCAAAAAATAATCAAATAAATAAATAATAAAATAAAATTAAAATGAGGATACATTTAAAGATTCTGGTATCAAAACTGATGTATGAGGGAACTGTTAAGAAGTTAACATGTAGGTATTCTGAAGAAAAAGTTAGGTTTGATTCCAAGCTAGATATCTTGATATTTTAAAATATTAATATTCACAGGTAAGTATATTCATTAAGGAAGAGACAGAACTATAGTCTGTGTAATTTAAAAATATTTTAAACTGCTTTTAAAAAGCTGCCCAATGAACCTAGATGTAAAACTTCTGAGTAAGGTACTAGCAACCAGAGGGCAACAAACCATCAAGAAGATTATACAACATGATCAAGTAGAATTCATTCCATTGATGCAGGGATGATTTAACATATGCAAATCAATAAAAGTAGAGCATTATATTAATGGATCCAAGTACGAAAACTACATGATCATCTGAATAGTGCAGAAAAAGCATTTAACAAAATCCAATACCCATTCATGATCAAAATCTTGTAAAATTTCAATAGATGATTTTTACTTGAGTCTAATAAAAGCTACCTATGACAAACCAACAGCTAACATTATACTAACTGCTGAAAAACTGAAAGCTTTCACTCTAATATCAGGAACAAGACAAGGGTATCTACTATCACCACTCCTATTCAATTTAGTTTTGGAAATAGTAACTGGAGCAAGTAACA